TATGAGATTACTAACAAGCATTACTGAATAATCAGATGAGGGACAGTTTGCTATGTCTACTAGGTAGCTAAAGTCTGATCCTCAGAGGCTATGGTTTGGACGGTCAACAACGCTTGGGCCCACAGGGGCTTGACTTCCTGACCGGGTCTGCACGGTCTGCATCATATTCCTCCTTAGTTATTGTTTGTTTAAGGGACGCTGCCTGTCTTAGGCGGTCAGTGCGAATTCTCAGTCTTACCAGTCATTGAAACTCATTGCAGCATGGCAATGGCTCTGTCTTAAGTTGCCGAGGTTCCACGTGATCCTTACCCGTCTCTGGCCACACGTCCAGCATAAACAGCTGCCATCCGAGGAAGGCAGGGAGGGAGGAGATCGGCTGGAGAGAGAATTGCTCTGAAGAAAGCAGGTGGTTTGTGGTAGGGATGGGGTGCTCTGGACTGGGTGACCAGAAAGGCCTGTGAGCAGATGGTATCTCAGAGGGGATCAGAGATGCTACAGAAGCTGCCATCAGAGGGTCCAGCCAGGGTAGGGGACCTGTATCTGTGTGTGCTGGATGCTTCTTAGGGTCCCCACTGGTTGGACCTTCAGTCCTCCCGCTGCTGGGTGGCGTCCCCTGGGCATCCTTTCTTCTGGCTCTTGGTTTGCTCAACCGACGACAGGGGCACTGACAGCAGACAATGGGGGTGCGGGGATGGGGTATCTCTGCTCCCACTCCTGCTGGTCCCTGGTTTGGCATCCTATAACACCACTCCTCAACCTGTGTCCCTTCAGTCTTGGGGTTGCAGCTGCCTGCTGCTGCCATCTCCCTTCCCTCTGCCCATGTCTTAGGACCACCCCACCAGGACCCTAACCTGCAGCATTCCCAGGAATGGACAGCGGAGCTGGAGCAGGAGTGACATGGAGTAGGGAGCGCAGATCCTGTGGGTCAGGATAAGGAGTGGGCTGCACTTCACTGCAAACCCCTCTCAGGAACTGAATGGAGAAGACCACTCATCTTTCTGATTCCTAGGACTTTGTCTTTTGGGTTTTGTCTAAAGCCTCTGATTAGCCTCTGAGGAACACTGTTTGCTATGAACTGTACGCCTGACTCTGGGAGTTTCCTCCCCCAGAGCCCTCCCTCTGACTGTGAACATCGTGGAACATCCGCTGGGCTGCAGACTCTATTTAGAGTCGGTGACGCTGTCGGCCATGACAGTGGTAATTTTGAGGTTTACTCAGTGTAGGTGGCTTCAGCCATCCCATCTGCTGCGAGACCCACAATCAGACTTTTATAGCTGAAGAGAAAGGATTTGCTTTGTTTTGTTTTTCACCACTACATACACAAAAACAAGATTGTAATTTTGGAAACAGACCATTAAGCTGACAGGTAACTCTACTTTTCCATTCCTAGTACTCAGAAAGGAAGGGGCCCCCCACGCTCTCTTCCTAGATCGGATGGAGCGTGCTGATTAATGGGGCGTTTTGACATGTCTCTCATTTACCCAGGCATGTGAGTGGGCCTGTCCATTATAACATTAACCGGCACTTTAACTTCTCTACAGCTGCTGCAGGGAGGAGGGACCTGGGTTTTTGGATGGTTTTATTTCTTACTTTACATTTAGGGTTATTGCTCCTTGTTTGTTTCTCTGCTAGGACCATCCCGAACATGGGATCCTATTTCTGATCCGAGAGCTGCTCACCGTGATCCAGGACTATACCTGGGAAGACAATAGTGATGATAGAATCCGCATCTACACCTGCGTCTTACATCTCCTCTCGGCCATGAGTCAGGAGACCTATCTCTACCACATAGACAAAGGTACCCGGAGTCCCCTGTCCACACCACGGGCCCACATTTTCTGAACGTCTGATGGGATGGTTTCAGTTT